CTACAAACTATTCTACTTTATACTTTCTTTTAAAAAGTACTTTATTATACTATAGCATTTTACTATAATACACTATAACATTTTTAAGTAATGCTTTATTAATAAATACTTAGGTGTCTACCAATTGTTCACTATTTCAATATTATAGTACTAAATATTCTATAAGGAGCTCTGTGGCACAGTGGTTAAGGCATCTGGTTGCTAACCAAAAAGCTGGCATTCTAACCCACCTGCCACTCTGCAGGACATAGATGTGGTCATCTGCTTCCTTAAGATTTGCAACCTTGGAAACCCTAGTTCTACTCTCCCTATAAGGTCTCTATGAGTCAGAATTGACTCGATGGCAGTGGGTTTTTGGTTCAGAAACATTCTTGAATCTATTTCTTTGCACATATATAAGTGTTCCTAGCACAAATTTCCATGTGTTTAAATGCAAGGACCTGATCATTTAAAATGTTGATAGATATTACCACTTTACCTTCACCAATAGCTGTGCCAATTTGCATTCCTACCAATAGTTTATAAAAAGCCATCATTCTAAGGATATCCATTTTTACTCATGGCATTATTTTTACTCCAGTTGCATCTCAATCAGCCCGATTTTTACTAAATTACTTTTGCCTAAATCAAAGACTCTCAATCCTGATACGTGTTGTTGTTGTTGTTATTTGCCATCGAATCGGACCCGACTCATAGCAACCCCTCCTTGAGTTTCCAAGGGAGTGTCACTATGGAAGTAGATTGCCCAACCTTCCTTCTGAGGAGTAGCTAGTGGGTTTGAGCCACCAGCCTTCTGGTTAGCAGTCAAGTGCCTTAAGCACTATACTACCAGAGCTCCTATATGCTTATGTCTGTTTCAGATTCATCCACTTTCCGAATGCATATCTTTTACTCTTTAAAAGAGTAGTAAGATTTTTTTTTTCATTTTTTTATTGTGATTTGGGTGCAAATTTACAAAAGCAGATTCATTTTACTCTCAACAGTTCACAGACTTTTGGTTTCACGGCCCCAGTACAATTCCCAACCATAAAAAGCTCTCCTCCCTTCTCCTCCTTGTGACCACCCCTTCCCTGTGCCCTTTTTATCTCTACATTCTTGTCTGTCCACATTTCTCTCTATGTGAATGCTGCCCCTCTGATGTCTCATGGCTGATTGATCTAAGGGGTCATCTCCTTGGAGTAGGTGTTTTGCTTATAGGTCTTTCTACTGTTGGGCTGAGAACTAATCCATGAAAGTGAGTCCATTTTCAGGCCTGAAGAATAAACTGGGACTCTGGTACCAAAGTTTGGTTATCCATTCCTCAGTTGTTGGACATCTAGGTTGTTTCCAAGTTTTGGCTATTGTAAATAGTGCTGCGATGAACATCGGCGTGCAT